CGCAAGAGCAAGCGCCACAGGAATATGGCAGTTGAAAAGAGAAGAAAAGCTGCGCTGAAAAGTGCCTGAAGCGTTTCCGTATCCTCTATTCGAATGGTATATAAACCTTGAGGTATAAATACAGCAACACCCAAAGCCAAGCCATTAATCTTCCATTCAAGCCACTCTTCCCTACTGAAGAGCCTCGGGAGTGGTCTACTCTTCTTGATACCTGTATAGGGGTAGAGGCGAAACAGGCCATATATATTATCTATGCTAACATTCATCTACTTCCATGCGTTTTGCAGTACCCTACGAGTGGCGACTCTGTATTCAAGTTGTAAGTGCTTTGCATTTTGTTAAGAAATGTACAACTTGACATTTTAGAAACTATCAGCACATTTTATTCGAAAGGTCTTTTTGAGATTTTTATTCACAAGGGATGTCTCTTTAGTCGAAGTGGCCATGTGGAGATGAAATATACGTTGCTGAAAAATTAGTGCTGAATGCTGATCTCAAAACTGAGATCCTTATCTGCAGATCGCTCTTTCGAAAATTTCATAAGTTTGGCCATGTTAACACACCGCTTGGTATAGAAGCACAGCAGCACCTGCTATAATTGTAAAATGGCGCAACGCCAGCATGGTAATTTGTTACAAGAAGGGGTTGCAGATTTGAATCCTTTCACAAACACCGTTTTTGCATTTCCTTTCACAAACACCGTTTTTTCTGTTTGCATCACAGCTTTTTCTCAAAAAGCATTCCATGAGTGAGGATGGAAATTTTGGAACAGCAATTACCGCTTACTACAACAAATTTATCTCATTTTGAAAAGCCATTTCGACTCAAGAGGCATTTCTCCCTAGATTACTTTGATCAGAAGAATTATCCTTATTTAGCTTATTGAAAGTATCTGACTTGAAATGACTTGAAATGAGCTTTAGCAATAGAATCTATATTAGTCGTGAGTTCTAGAAGTTGATTATAAAGGGCCTTTTCTATGCGCTGTGCCATTTATTAGATAAAGCCTATAAGGACCATCCGATAATTTGGGAGGGGAGGATATGCAAAAAAATTTCTTGGATGAAGCATCTGGATTTGGCCACTCCTTCAAAAGGAGTGGCCAAAACCAGCTTTTTTTTCCACACTCCTCTACTCTTTTTAGACATCGGTCAAATTTTGCTCAAATCCCCAACTTCATCAAAATTTCCTCCAAAAATACTTTGCATTTGAAAACCATTGCACTCTTGAGGTATGAATGGTTGGAGGCTTCCAGTATTTCATGATCCATGTAGTGAACTCCAAAACTATTTGGTTGTGCTTACACGACATTATGTTGGATTTTGCTCTGGACCATAATAACTAACTTTCAAACCCTTGCCTTTAGATCCCTTACATTCGGAAAATTGCAAACAGCTGGGAAGTGCATAGCCTGAGAGCAACATCGCGCTTATGAAGTCGTATAAATTGCAAATTCGACTACTTGAACTGAAAGTAGAGAAACGCCTTTTACTTTATCCAGTAAATTTTTGCAGCTACCAAATAAGGCCATGTAAAAATTGTTTGGACTTCTAAACTATCAAGCATTTCGCAGGAATGGCCCACTTCGATTCAAATGTCGTTTTTGCCAAATTTGCTAGCGAAATGAGTTTATCTCTACAAATAAAATTTCAGCCAACTTTACCTTGTACCTTAGCCATCAATGAAACAAAGAAAACAAACTCAGATCGTTTTCATAAAGATAAAAGTCCTTGCAACCCTACAGAGTAATAGAAATTGTCTTGGTTTGTGAACAAACACAGAAATAATCTTCCTGAAACTATTCTTTTTACCATGGGGTAAAGGCGACAAACCTAATTTCTTGGACCCCAAAAAACTCCTCGTGCAAAAGGTCTCCGGCGCCAAAAACAGGGGGTGGGTGTCGAGGCCGATATATTACGCGAAGTTATTGAAAAAATGGCGCATAGTTTTGAGTTATGGGCTCTGCGTTGCTTGCGTTCTGGACGTTTTGTTGCCTAACGCTTGCCCTCCGCAAATATGTACACAACTCTTGAGAAAGTTTTATCGAAGTTAAACACAGAAAGGCATTTGTTGGAGTTGAATAATTATATTTGAACCTCCAAAAGTTTGAAAAAGGCTAACTCAACCTTCGTACATTTCAGGTTGCTGTAAAATGCTGATATCCACTAACGCAGTTGGCTCAACGCAAATGCATGAAAACACAATCTCGATTTTTTGTTATTAGCTTAATTTTGGCCTAATTAATAAATATTTCGGGAATTTTATAGGTACTCGTAACTATATCTATAAGAATGGCTCAATTACTGTTATGTAAGGACCTCCCACTTTTGGCGACATACAGTCCCCTACCAGATTAATGTTTTCATAACTCGTCCAACAACTGCCGAGACTTCAATTTTATCGTCGCTTTCAACAGCATGCAAACAGAGCTAAAATTTCCTGCCACTATTCCAAGTCAGGGCCCGGCACAGATCGTCTGGAAGCAGGCTGGACTTCGTTTTGAAGCAACAGCAAAGGGGATATCGTTTTCGACGAGTCGGAATCGAACACCAAGAATAAGCGCCATTTAATCGAACACAAGCTTTTCGGACAGGTTATTACACGATTGACATGCTCTATCGTGCATGGCGAAAAGTGCGCGCGATTTGAAAGCAAGGCTTGAGTAAACAACCTGCTTGTTTACAGCGCACACAGAAGCATATGACACCAAAATTGAACCGTATGTATAGAAAATTATTTGCGAAAAAATTATGTAAAAAGATTTGAAAACTTATGTGAAGTAATACCTTTTCCAACATAAGATCGTCTCCAAACGGCCACCAGAAGATCCGAGATCGTCTGGAGCATATATTTTACTCACTTCACATAAGTTTCGGATCTTTTTAGCATGGACGGATTCCCCAGTCAAAAATCTATCTCTGAGCATGAAGACATTTCCATATCATTGCCTTTCCTTTGTTCGTTGCCTTCATTTCTTCTCGCTTTGTTAAATATCGCGCTCTAATGCCAAAGTCTTGTGTACGAGTAGTACTCAGCTCCAATTTGGATTTTCACTTTTATCTAACGTCTTTTCCTTCGAACTAGTGAATCTTTCTTGTTTTCATCTTCTCCTAAGCAAGTAGGTCAAAGGGGACTTCGTATTGATTCCGAAAGTCAGGGGCGACTTCGTTTTCAGAAACCCTAGAAACCGACTCGTGCCGGGCTCTGTTCCAAGTCCATTTACGAGAGTCGTTTATTGAATTCAACTAACAGCGGGTTCGATTTTGTTGTGGGTGCAACATTAGGTCTACAGAAATCAAGAAAACGGCAGGGCATGCATTATGCAATTTTATTGCGCCTCACGATTCTCCCAACAAGACAACTGTTACGAGTTCATTGCACGTCCTCATCTTGCATTTCGGCTGGTGGTAGTTTCCGGACGCGACTGATCGCGACAAGCCATCACACCGAAATGCAAGATGATCGGCTTATATGTATTCGCAATAAAATCGCGTGATGCATGCCCTGCCTTCTACACAAATGTCATCTGCCATATAAGCTTCTCAACGCTCCGTTAGAATGCCCTCGAGCAACTTGCAAACCTTATCAATGAGGCTTCGCTAAACCTCCTAGAGTGTCTGCATTACAAGGGAGGTCCGTTTGGTCGAAGTGGCTTTTTCACATAAAAATTGATACGCTACGAAGAACACCGAACGCTGATTCCAAATCTGTCTCTGTCCAGCACCTCTGGACGTCGAGTTGTGAGCGATTCTTGAATTGAATAACTGAATGCATAATTAGCACAAATTTCGTCAGAATTGCTCAAATATCCAATATAAAATCATCAGAGCACCCCATTTGAATAACACCTTCTGTTCAAAACACTCATACTTAATACTACTCTATTTGAACCTGAAAAACCACTAACATTTGATTTTACATAGATTATGCTTTCACATTTCGCAAAAAGAAAGTATTCATAACTCAGCAGGCAGAGGCGCTCGGCAGATAGTGAAACCAGATTTGAATCCACCGTTTGATGCTCTTCAAAGCGGTTGAGAATCATTTAGGAATGTCACTTAACTAATCGGACCTCCCTTGTTAGATTTGACTCTCATTTTCTAAACGGAACTCTATAGAACGCTTCAGGATGCCATGTTTAAACACAAAATGTACCACTTTCTTTAAAGGCAGCGTCCAGGCAGATCTGGACCTATGGGGCTTTTACGTGGAAAGTACTTTTGGGGCCCTAATTAAGGCACTGCCCAAGCAGCAGCTCACTCAGACAATCAATGGGAACTTCCCGAGGTCCGTGAGGGAACTTTCCTCGGGTCACCTGCGGAAGTTCCCGTGAAGCGCTCGGGAAGTTTGCAAAAAAGTCCTCGGGAAATTCGCAAGAAGTGGGAAATCTCCCGAGAACTTATCTACAGAACTTCCTGAGGGCTTCACATTGGCTCCGCGTAGCTGTACCGAACCTTCATGATGAATCCTGCTACTTCATAAAGCCGCACCCTTAGTACAGCTACTCAAAGTAGTGTAGTAGTAAGGGTGGAGCACTAGTAGTAGTTATACGCAAAAACAGATATGCTCCATCATTTATTGTTATAGCAGTAGATATAACATATCGACGGAGGGAATGGGAGAATTTCTTCAAGTTCTTAAAAGATCGAATTACAGTAGCCCGGATAATGCGTAAGGAGTATCATATTGATAGTGAGATATGAAGTAAGCATGTAGTGAATATAGAGGTAAGCGGGGAGTAAGTAAATGAAGCACTGATTAATGAGAAACATGCTTAACTAATGAGGCAAAGGCACGATGTTACATGAGAAGACTTATGATGGATCAGAAATTAAACATCAGGTTCAAACAGGACAGCGACGGGATCAAATTCCACTACTGTGTAGCGCTTTCCTCTTCCATTCTGACTTCGTCATACTTGCCTTGTCCTCTCTACCAAATCCGACCTGCGTAGCCTTGTATTTCTGGAAAACAAATTTTTAGTATAAAAACAACTGAGACTAAGTTTGAACCTTTGAAGGCACAAGTTTTCCCTTGTCGAGGCGATAATAACGGACATCCTCGCTGTAAAACTGAATTTAGAAGCAGAAGACGATTCTGGAAAACTTACAGTGCTTCTGCGATACAGGTCCTGATTTGGCCGCAGTAGAAAGTTTTTTGCTCCAGCAGATAGTTGAACTTTTTCTCGCGTTCTTCATCGGATGTACCCAGAGAGATCCAGTAACTAAATCATTTGAGTAGGTAAAGACTGCTTACGAAACACCAACGCACCTAGTGCGCAAGCTTCTTATCGAATTCAATCTGTATCCCTCCAAATCCTCGTTGCCGAGGCTAAGCGCATCCAATACGAAATCTAAAGAATGATTTGAATGAGAATTTCTTACATGACTAGTTTCGTACCGTTGAGTGTGATAACTGTGATAACGAAATGTCTTAGTAGGTTGCATGAAGCGGAATGTGGGTGAAGAGAATAGAGGGTGAAAGAGAAAGTGGAAAGATGGGAGGTGAATAAAAGATCCTCGAACAACTTCATTACTCTTGCTTAAAGATTATTGTATATTCTCATTAGTGATCTCTAATGTGCACAGCTTCGGAAAGAAAGCAAGAGAGCAGTGCTAAATCAGAGAGGAAAACAGGAAACTTTAAGAAAAGAAAGAAAGAAAAGCAGTGCTAAATCAAAAAAGAGAAAGAAACATTATCATAGAAGTGAGTTGAAGCATAACTAGTGTCAAATAAAGCGCAATCACGCTCACCTGAAAGTCGACTTGTGCCCTCAAAGTAGAAGCCTTGAACTATTTGTTCGTCGCGACTATATTCGGCTGATGCCCTTGCTCTGAAAAAATTCACGTTAGAAAAGAGGAAAGAAGAGATCTAATATGCAAAGAATCGTAAGCGCAGTTTGAAAATCATCAAATCGCGAGAAACCGCGGTGCGGTCCCGAAGCGCACGCACATATAGCACCTTCACATAACTGCTTCACTAGTAGGAGGAGAAAAGATCGAAATTACAACCACTCAGCTAGGAACCAGAATCTAAATACTACCTAAGATAACACTCCAATTTGAATTGCTAAACTTTCACCATCTATAACAGATTGACAGACTAGCAGTATAGTGAAATAGCGCAAGTGCACTGTTACGAAATACAGAAAAGAAAGCAAGGAGAATCAGACGCTGAAAAAGACTTGCCTAAATTCATATTTTCCTTTTTATATATAAAACAGCACAAAGTCACATTTAGAAGAATTTCGAAACACGTAAAATTTATGAGTAAATGTAAAGTCAAAAGGAGTCATTTCCTTATTACATGGTGCATCATAACAGCCGCACTCGCAAAGAGCTGTACAATAGATGGTCGCACATATATTAAGGTAATTCAATAGCCGGATCATCTATTTGCTTGTTTTGGCTCTGGGTCATAGCTTCACACCTCGCACTGCGACAGAGGACGGTAATTATGATGTGCGAAGTAACAAGCAAGAGGTCACTTCACCCTTAACGACAAGTGATGCAAATACATTTGAATAATGCCACATGGAAAGAAGAGAATTCAGTCAATTTACAGAATAAAACGAGAGGACGATGGAAAAGAAACACTAGAAGTCCGCACTTGCGCTAAATCAGATATCGCACTGACCATTACATAAGTTTGATGAAGACTCTGTGACTTTTTACGACAATTCAGTCATTAGAATGAAAGTAGCGCTATTACGAAATACCGCGAAGCTCTCGGAAAATTCCCTTTTCTTAAAAGCTTTTGGAAAGTTTCGCATTTATAGATACTTCCCGAAGAAATCCTCGGGAAGTTCCTAACTGCGTTGCTCCTGACGTCAAAGTTTTCGGGAAACTCCCATTTTTGCGCTTCCATTCACCTCTGTGTTAAACGAGTTCTTCGGGAAGTTTGCCAAAATTGGCTTGTTTTAGGGAAGCTCCCGTGAATTGTCTGAGTCAGGAGGTGCTGTAATGGCTGAGATATTCCCCTCGAAACTGGCCCCCGCGAACGTAATCGCATGGATTCATGGCAGTTTCGCGCCAAGATCCACGCTTTGCGCCATGAATCCATGCGAAACACGGTTGCGGGGTCCAGTTTTGAGGGGAATATCTCAGCCATTATAGCACTTCCTGAGCTGCCGCTTGGGCAGTGCCTTAGTTAGGGCCCCAAAAGTACTTTTCAAGTAAAAGCCCCATGGATCCAGATCTGCCTGGACGCTGCCTTTAATGGACTCCTTGAGAATGTTTTGATCCTTCGCTTGGATGACTAGCTTACCCTAAAAGTTTGGGAATGAAAATCACTTAGCGGTTAATATCAGCCCCTTCGGCAACATCAGCGAGAAACTTAATCAGCAGTAGTGTCATTGATGCAGGCAATGCTAGTGACGTATAGCTGGAAGTCGAAGATTATGCGATTTTGTACGCAACGGCGCGTAAGAACAAACTCCCCTCTCCAAAAACATTTACAAAACTCAGAGTTTGTGACTAAGTGGCTAAATATGCTCCCATGAAGTATGTTCCGAACAAAGTCTTTGTGAGTAAACGAATAAACCCTGCTTTGCATACACAGATCCTCGACTTCGGCGCACTGAAAGGCAGTGAATCGGCAAAATCCAACAACTCAGGGTTTTAATGCGGTAGGTTCCTTATCGTCCAAGTATGAAAACAGTGCAATTCCGCTTGCACAGCATGCTTTCCCCGCCGAGATAATTGCTCTTAAGCTTACACGTGCAGGCCAATCTTACAAGCATCCGGACGAATTGGCAATTTCCTTCTCATCATTAAAGGCTACCCACCGCACTGCTAAAACCATTGGGTCCTGCAATGATTTAGCGTCATCAACCTCGCTCCACTCGTCCAATTCCAAATGGAAAGGCATTAAAACGCTCATTTTCGCCGTTTTCAAGCTTTTAAAAGAGGATTTTCGGAATCAGCGTATTGAATAACCCCAGGTGAGTGACTTTTCATACGATGAACAATTCCGAGGTGCGGGGTGTGAACACCTACGGCTGAGTGTCAAGTCTCGCACCTCCGCGTCTAGTATACTGTAGGAGAGAGAGGGTGGGGGGGGGGGGGGTTCGGGGAAGGAAGGGGGACTCTACATACGAATGCCCTCACATCATCTTTTGGCACAGATCCAGTGCAAATTGGCACCATGCCAAGTTTGGGCCTGCTGGCTCCATTCCAAAAAATAAACATTTAGATTAGCTTTTGCAGTACCGCGAATTTGAATAAGGTATTTTGCTGTGAAAAATAACATTATGATCGTTCTACTCATGAGATTTAGTACTTAAATCGACATAAATTCAGTTTTTCTTTCACAAACGTGAACTGGTTTGAGTATTATCACTTGCCTCTCCGACCTTTCAGCATGACCTGGAAGTGCTGCCGTTCCCACAGGGGATATTGGGTGTATGTCAAGAGGCGCGATTTTTATTGCCAGATGTTTCATGAGTTTCTAAAAGTATTCAAATTTTGTAAGGAGATGTACCAGATGATTGCATAGGTTTCTATCTTAATACCTTGTAATCGTTTTGGCCTGACGATCTTTACTATGATACGCTATTTCAAAGCTCTTCGAATTTTCCATCGTTTCGTACCCCCCCCCCCCACCACCGTCCGGTAAGATTTATACAACAAAAAAATCAAGGTTTTCTTTACTTTACGCACAGAACCAGAGAATTATTAACTCGAATGTGTGTGCCTTGCGAATTTCATTGTACAATTTTGATAATAAACGTTTTATTTTAGTCCATTATAATCGACTAGCTGGCTTACTCGGCTCCGCCCGGCCCTGTCAGAACACTGTGTCAAAGAACATTATCCCTATTCCTGTACGAACCTTTCCCTGTGCCCACGCCTACATGCCAAATCACTATTCCCGCTGTTTTAGTAATCAGCATGCTCGATTACCCCCCTGTGCCAACTCCCAGCCCCGTTGCTCAAACTTTGAAAAAAAATCGATAGAATCGATAAAAGTAGTGGACGATCTTAAAAACTAATATTGTATTCGTAATCAGCATGCTCGATTACCCCCTTGTGCAAACTCCCAGCCCCGCAAGTCAAACTTTGCAAAAAAAAACCGATAAAAATCGATAAAATCGATATCGATCGATACGAAAGGTAGCCTATGACACTCCTCGCCCCGAAGTATATGCGTGCCAAGTTTGGTCTCGATCGGTTTAGAAATGGAATTTTCTATTCGGAACATACGTGCATACAGACAGACATAAACACAAACAGACATTCAGCTTTATATATAGATAACTGGTCGTATTACCAGCATCCCATCATACCGCTGAAAGATGAAGATGATGAGGGAGCATTTATATGAAAATTCCCCCATCCCCCTCCCCCCCGCCCTCACCTAAGCGTAATGGAGAATCTTACTCAGTACTTGGGTGGAGAGGTGCGATGTAGGTGTGAGGTAGGTGCGAAGGCTAGGTGCGAAGTCACCGATCGTATGAAAAGTCCCCATCCCGAATAACCCAAGGTAAGCTCAAATTTGACTATACTGAGATTTGCCGAGCCACTGCTTTTAAGGGGTACTTTTTGTGACGGTTAACGGGCCTTTATCGATTTATTGACTTGTTTACTTACATCTAGGAAAATAAAGGCCTCAACAGTCTAACAAAATTATCTATTCGAGCTGCTGTAAATCGCAACGGTATGTGTCATTCTGAATCAGTGAGAAAGAAGCGCAGCGAGAAGGAATGCATTCAGAGTTTATATTAGGTTGTCCCCAAAAGTTTTGTCCGTTTTTCAAGGAACTATAAAACCACACAAAGAGAACAGCTGAATGAGTTTCAACATGTGTTTGATGCAGCTTTTCCTTCTCTTTCTTATGGATTCGTTTTCGAACCACAATCTTGTATGCCTTCTTTGATAATTGCTAGAATTCTCCACCCCGTCAACTTTAGCTGCTCAAAGTTGGGCTAATTTTTGAAAAATTCGTTCCAATTTTTCGGAAAGTTAAGTATGGGTCAAACAGAGCAATCCTCGGGCTATATTGTAATATTTTCAGGGTCTCCTAATCTGCTAATTTAGCTCCAAAAAATTATTTCTTTGGAGCTCTCGATTTTTTGCAAAGTCATGAAATTCGCAACTGCAGCAAATACATGAAAGCTTTTGAAGTTTCTACGAATTGAGACATGATAGGTTGGGGCAGATGCATTGTAAATGTCTGCGTGCAACCTAGAGCAAAGAAATGAATTTTCATTTTCTCAACGATCTTTGGCGCAACGTAAGTACGTAGTAGTTGGAGCAAGATCATGCACTCAAGGAAACTTCTTCTAATAAGTAACTCCTAAATCATCTACGCTGTTCTTCTTGCAAATACCCTGCTCCAAATACCACAGCTCATAAACATGGGAATTACCTCAGCAGTCATCTGTGTAGAACATCTGATTCAACCCGACCTCAGGCTGACACTCAGGGACTGCGCAACGGCCGCAAACACACCGATCTGCGCGATTATGCACAGTCCTACACTCTCACTATATTGTATCGCAAAGTCATTTCTTAACACGAGACCAAAGCTCGCTCAAGGCTTTCCCCTAGATAATCTTAGCAAAAATGTCCTGCCGCATGCAGCCGCTAATCTTCCTTTCCAAACCAACTTCTCTTTCTTTTTTTTTTGCTTTTAGGAGCAGAAGTACGATTTTAGAAATGTATGACCAAAAGTGGATAGCAAGCGAGCGATTGTATAAATTAGCATTGAAACTAACAATAAGGAATCCTTAATACGTTTTGGACCGGTGCTGCACATGATGCAGCAGCTGCTTTAAAAAATTTTTTGACGTTCACAGGAGCTTTTCTTTTAGTCCAAGGCTACCAAGTCAAA